TCATTCTGTATTATTAATTAATTATCGATTATCTTGCTAAATTGTTTCTATTGGGGTTCGGAGGCAAATGTTGTTGCGACGTAAGTGGCATTGACGTTAGTTAATTAATTAATAGCTATCATCTGAGGCAGAAATGGCTGTGCGAGTTGAAACGTGCGTATAGTACGAGCGTATAAATGTCTCGAGGCGTCTAACGTATTACTGATAAAATAGATTTTCTCTATTATTGAAAGCCTTTTGATTTCCAGAAATATTATTTTGAGTTCGTTTAGTGGATCATAGCTGTACGTCATTTGGGCGCTTGTGAAGAAATTCACACGCGTATAAAAATCAAAGCTCTACCTCTACCTTATCCCTTATCAAAGGCTTACGTGCATTAACCCTTAAGCGTCTAGCTGTCTCCTTTCAAATGACGTTTTTCATGTTTATTAATGAAGCTCTTTGGTCTTATCAGACAAATGGGTCCCGTGAATTCATTATTATTTAGCCTTCAATTTCAGGCTGTGCAATTATGGATAAACGTATCGCGTGTCAAAAAAATTTTAAGCTCCCGAATTTCGTCAATTTGGATTGGGTGCATGTATTTTGCATTGTCAAGAATGGTGTTCGCTAAAGGATTAACCATGAATTTATCTACCATAAATACTGTATTATTGAACATAATATACCATAAATATAATGTTCATCCATTGCCACGTACACTGTCATATGCCACGTAGCAGTCGAGTCCTCGGAAGACCTGCTGACCTCCCCACCTGCAAAATTTACGATTAGCCCGGACAGTATCGGTCGCCCAGTCAGATTTAAGGCACGGTCAGCTCGTCTGTAGTCAGATCAAAGCTAAATATAGTGAACGCCGAAACGAAAAACCGCAATGCAGTCCCAGATAGAAAAACACGCATACATCGACGTAGTTTGCGCCAAGCAAGCTACGTGTGAGCAGCCGTAGGTAACACTCCATTCAAACACTCTTCAAACAAAGATGGCCTATCAGCCAAAACGGCAGAAAACAAATATGGCCGAACTACCTAACCAAGATGGTCTGTCGGTTTCGGCACAGTGACGGTCGCTACAGTCAAATTTAAAAGGCACAGCATTCAACGTTAGAAAATCGTCAAAGTGTAATCCTCTATTTCCAGAAGAACTTGCTGGTAAAGATTCGCGTCGTCGTTTTAAACACGAGGGCCTATCAGGAAAAGAGGTTACAGTTCAGAGTACCGAGATTGGAGCAGAGAGACGCGGGTTAAATCCCAGCTCTGTGCGCCAGTTTCTGGTCAGAATCGGCATTCGGCAAGGAGGCCGGGCAGTTAAGCACAGCAGAATTGTAGCAGTGAGTTATGAGTTCGATACCGCAACAAGATGTGAATTTTCTGCGATGTTGAGAATCGACGACAGGCCTACTAAGCGCTGAAACCGCTATTATTATTAAGATAGCAGATCGGTTTCGGTACAGTAGGCACCGGTCGCCACAGTAATTTGCTAAATTTCATTCGCGACGATAGTCGAAACGACTGGAAACTAAGGATGTCTAGAGAAACTTCAATATCCTATTGGACAAAGTCAAACCCTTCATTAAGTTCATAGCAAAACGAGACACTGTACTTCGGAAAGCTATAACAGAGGAGGAACGGCTAATTGCTAGTCTTACGTTTTTTAGCCACCGGACGGTCAATCGAAGACCTAAAGCTCTCCATCATAATATCACCACAAAGTTAGGGTGTACGTATCATCTGATGACGCACCACTTCGCGTGCTCTCGCGAATCTTTCTCAATTCTTTACTGAATGATGCTCGAATATTATCCACTTTTTTAAAAACAAAGTTAAGGTCTGCATTGACTACTTTTTCCTCGCGTAATTCCAACGAGATGTTCCCGTGCTTTATCTCTTTTTGATTTGTTGGAATATTCCGAGCAACGAACCTTCCAAAGGCACGTCAAATTGCTGTTAAAAAGTCGGGGCTTATGAATAGCCTGGAGTCAGCCATCGCTGCATATGTCCTCGCAGATTTTAGCGTCTGCAACTCTGCAATCTGCATAGCAACTGAACTCGAGCCGATTAAAAATCACGGCATTACACGTCGTTGGATCTTCGAAGCCAAAAGTACTAGCCACATCTGGGCCTATTCTTCAGCGCCGATATCACTATGATGTGGAGATTTATGTCGTAGTTTTCAGACACGAGGGTATCAGATGTTTGCACTAGCGTTTGTTGTAAGTGGAGCTCAGCGGCACACGTCTGCCTGCACCCACAACCGGCGCAAGACCGCCGGCTGATTCAAAAAGAAATTAAGTGCCAGCAAGACTGATCAATGTAGCACCTGCAATACATACATTGATACATAGGATATACAAACAACTGTCAATAGCGCATTCTCTTCTGGACTGTCAACGCCATCTATTGCCAGTGCCAAGACAAGAGCTACATAATAATTTAGGATGCATTAATGTAGTATTTAATCTAGGTATGTAATCTGTTGGGGAAGACAACCATAATGATTTGTGTGCAACGGAAAATATTCCAAGTTTTACTTTATTCATATTGAAGCCAGACAGGATAGGCGACAAAGCGAGCTGTAATGTAGCCTGTAGATGGCCATGTCACAGATGGTACACAACTAACACAAGGATCAAGGATGCATGGTGACTTTGGTGAGTTTGGTGACCATGCAATACCTAGTTGAAGAACTGCTGCCACTTATGTTTTATCTACTGTTATTGTTGGTGTATTTATCATCATCTAGGTCAGTCGTCAGTGTGTAGGCATGTTTTTTTTAGGTATTTGAAGTAGGTAGGGACTAGGGAGGCTAAATCGGCATTCATTTACTCTGTTAATGAGACTGTTATGCTTTGCCTCTAATAAATGAACATTGATTTAAGTAAATTAAGTCCATTTGCAAATACTTGGCTTCTTTAAATTCCTCAAATCTTGTGCCTACTGTAAACTGAGCTTAGTGAGGCTGTTCCGCTGTGAGCTACCTACATGAAAAGTGATGAAAACTGATCTCTCTTGAGAGTTGAGAGCATTGAGCCATTGACTTGCAGGCTACAGGCTACAGCCTTCCTGTAGCAAGGGCAAGAGCCTGCTAGAAACTTGCCAGCAACAAGCACTCGGTCTCAGGCAGGCCCAATCGCCCCAATGGTCATCCTGGTCAATGGTCATCCATCAGGCAGACCTGTGGCAGGAGGCAGGTGGCTTCCTGTCTTCCTGTCCACTCACTGGGACACTGTCACTGTGACTGTCAGACTGTGGAGTGTGGACACCACACAATGGCACAAAGAAGAGGAAGAAGCTTCAGCCTTCAGGGAGTGATTTGGTAAAGTTAATGGAAAACAATGAATTTAGTGGACAAAGATATTATATTTGCTTGCTCAATTTGTAGTTAAAAGTACAGGCTGTTTGTGGTATTTTTCATCAATGAAAAATGTGTATTTGTATGAATTGAATTTAATTATTGAAGTGATCAAGTGAGACGTCTGAACATTTGTCTACTCTCTAGGTATGGCATTGGCATGTGACTGATGTGTGAAGCTCAGGCTGTCAGGCACCAGTCCCCAGTGTAGGACTGTAGGAGTGTAGGTCAAGCCTCAGGCAATGTAACAAGGTTATGTGTCATGTGAGCAAGTTTTTGTTATTAAAGACTACAATTATGCTTCATTTGGCAACATGGCAAGGGACTGTAACGGTAAATTATTGCTATTAGTGATTGCCTGATTGGTATGCAGATCCTGCTAAGATGTGAACTGTGAAGCCCCTTTCCACCCCTCCATTCAGTACCTGGTCCAAGACTCCAACTCGCAAAGGATGAACTGATAGGGCTTCCTCCTCCCCCCCCCCTGTCCTCAGTTACTGCCATATGCAACATTGCAACTGAGGCCATGGTGACAATCTATAGTAAATATAAAAGAACATCTGAATATAAGCTTTGGGAAATTGTAGTGCTTTGTCATAATCTGAGAGTGCCACGTGTCACTTTACCTTTCCCCACAAATTTTAGTAAATGACTGTGACAGAAGTTCTGTTGACAAAGTGACGTGGCTTCATGCCCACTGCTAATAAATTGGCTAATTGGTCAAAGCCTGTAACCAATCAACAACTTGGCATGTTGTAAAGGTACAATATTGCTCCTATGAACTTTCTTCAGAAAAAATACTTCTGAACTGTATTAATTGCATTATACGAAAATAACCAATATAACTTAAACAAAGTTAGTATCACTCTGTTCATCTATATATACATATTAAATCAATTATAGGAGATCTGAAAATGCAATTAACATTCAACAGGAAGAAACTCGTGTGGAGTGCAGCCTGTACTCTGTAGAAGCTCTCCAAGTAGTCTAAGTTACGCACGCTACATTCTTTATTTCAGTTTTTGGCAGTGGGCCCCAGTGGCAGCCATCTGAAATTTCTTGAAGAAAAAAAATTTGCACGAGTGTTATCAGTTGATGTATTAGTTAAAAAATTAATGTTTTTTCCAAGTTGTTGAACACAATTTATTGATTGTTTAGCCCAGTTTCTAGTTGTTTGAAAGACCAAATATTGGTCTTTAACTTCACCAAAATTCATTGAAATTCCAATGACTCTGGCTACAGTGGCACAATCACACTATGAAACCTGGTAGAAGGTCATGAGAATGTTCTTAAATTCAAATTTCTGAACTTATACCAGGAAAATGTTGCTTATTCTAAGACATTCTTTCTCCTGAGCAGGCCTAAATTCCATATTGAATTTTGAATGTGCAAGCTGCCTGCATGTGAATTGTGAAGAATTTATCTAGTCAGATTACTGTGCTCACTTTGCTCAGAACCTTAAAATTTTTTTTAAATATTAGCATTCCTATATAAAGCATATAATAATAAAGCAAAACTTGTAATTCAGTGGGATTAAATATTGAAAATTATTTGTAAGGTCAATGACATAAATTAAAGAAATATTACTTCTTCCTTCATTAAACAAAAAATTTGGAAAGTGTACAAAAATTTTATTGTTTTTTTGAGATGCAATTTAATTTCAAATGCTCATATTTCAATAGTTAAGCATTCTAGGGAAATGCTTTGTATGGAATTATATGCAGTCTGCAGATGATTGTTGATTGAAAGCAGCTTGTCAAAATAGTTTTTTAACATGTGCTAAGTTAACTAGGAGCTATACAGTTTGTTTTGTAAGAGATTACTAGTTTATGAAAGTTACTTGCCATGGTAAAGTGGTAGCTTGACTGCCATGGCAAGTTACTATTTGGTTATTTCAGCTAGCTTAAAAATTGCTTTTAACAATAATGCTTCATCAACATTTTAAACTTAACAAGGACAGGAGAAGCATTAAAATCCAACTTGTTTAGTGAGTGACTTGAAAAAAATATGGAAACTACTACTACTACTACTACTACTACTACTACTACTACTCCATCCAATGCAAATCTCAATCTTTCTTTCAGAACAAACTTTTATTTTAAAATCATGTAGACTATTGATATAGGTATGCATATTGGTGAATATGTAATTTTTAATGAACACAATGACATGGATTCTGCAATGAAGTAAATCTTTGTTTATACATACCATAGCCTTGCACCCCTGCTCAGTCTACCTCAGCCACCTAAAAAGGTGCAGTGCTATGACCCAAAATTTTGCTCATTTCAATGTAACATCTTTATGTTATAGTTACCATCATAAAATTAATTATGTATAAAATTGTTGAATTGTACAACCATGTTGAAAAGTCCAGGATTTTTGTTAGTCCTATCAATTTAAAATATTACCACTGAAGTAAGAAATGCTAAGCTCCATAATCATTGGTTTCAATTATTATACTGGATTTATATACAATAAAATTTTAATTAAATTCAAATTCTATTATGTAAATTCCTGTACCTACATTTACTTTGATTCAACATTCAAATTTACAACAATTTTACTTCAATAGAATGTTTTTGGTCTTTCTTTTCAGTATTTACAACTCTTGATTGTGGGAGTTTTTCATTTTTTTACTTACAAAATTTTGTATAGATAATTGCTCAATCTTCATTTCTTTTCATCATTATTTGTCACAAATATAAAATAAATTCATAAATGAGCATTAAAATCAACCTGCCACACATATTTTAGGCTAAAAAGTTCTGTACAGACCACAGACAACACTAGCTGCCATGCCAGTGGCAGTGATGGCATGTAGCAACCCAGGGCAGACCATCAAGAAATGCCACCAGTATGACCACAACAAGAATAGAACTGCCATCCAATCGCAGCAACTGCGCTATTGTAACTTCTGTAAGAGCAGCTGTAATGGCCCACCTTTGCAGCTGTATTTCAGTGACATCTGCAACATCAGCGGTAATGGCCCTCGGCCACTGCCTCATTCCTGTGATGTCTTTGAAATTGATTATGATGTTAGGGACCTCCAGCAGTTTTACAGGTAACTACAATAATAACTTATTAATGGACATTTTTAGTCGTGATAATTGTTATCAATGCACATTTATTTGTGGTTATTGTGCTCCTTGATGTTGATTTTTATTTGTTAATGTCACCTCTTAACATAAGTATATTTTTTGCATTGATGGCACCTCATGTTGATAATTGACAGTGCCTTTTCATGCTATATATATATAGGTATATATATTTTTTGCTGATAGCACCTCTCAACATTATAGAATTTTTTGTGTTAATGATGCCTCTTGATGGTAATTATTTTTGCTGATTATACTTTTTGACATATAGGTATATAGTATATATTTTGCTGATTACACCTGTTTTTCTTTGCATGTGGGGCCTTCTAATTCTTTTTTTGATTGACATGCAGCACCAGAAGACATTCATTGAGTTTTTTAACAATCTACAATTACTACCGGGAATTGTAATTCCTTCCATACCCAGGGAGCCCTTAGCAGAGCAGAGGTGCAACAGGGAAGAAGCAGGGCCCGTGCCCCAGCGTTGGAGAGCACCGCTCCGCTGTGAGCTCTGTGCTGTTACCTGCAGCGGGCCAGGGCCCTACAACCAGCACCTCAGGGGGGCCAAGCATCAAAAGGTTGCTCTTATTATTGCTTGTTAAAATATTTGATCATGATATTTTACAATTATATAACCTCATATTTAATGCTTGTTAAATTTGCAATGCCAAATCTCTATTAGCCATGTTCAGTTCACAAAAACTCATGCTCCTACATACCACTCGTGCTCCTCCACACCACTCGTGTCCTTCACTTTGTTCAAAAGTATTAAAACAAAAGAAAATTCTGTTTATTTGCTTATAGTTATAGCATTAAAGTTGTTGTAATTGATTTAAGAACAGATATTTGCGATTCTCCACTCCGAAGTGTTAGGCTTAACGAAAACATATTTCTTGCAGGCACTAATACTGCACGGCATATTGGGAGACCACAGCTCCCCACATGACCCATCCGGGAGTGGTGATGGAACCACCAGCAGGAGGAAGGGTGGTGGTGGTGGTGGCAGTGTTACTATCACTGCAACTGAGGTGGCCTCAGTAAAACCGCAGCAGACAACACCAGCTGCCACTTCAGCGGCAGTGACGGCAGATGGCAACGCATGTCAGACATACCTGGCTGGCAACAAGCATGGTGTCAGCCGCCTGAGTGACTGTGGCATTACTTACTTTACTGCCCCCAATGCACGCACATGCTGGTGAGTAGCATCAATGATGGGATCTGCGGCAGTAATGGTAACGATTAACGATAAATGTAACTTTGATAGTGATAATAAATGTAATCGTTTTTTTGTTGAACAATAAGCTTAGAAAATGAATGTACGTATATCTCGTATCTATGGACCGAAAAATCTATAAACAACTTTACCCATTTCTTCACAAACATTATTGATATAAATAGCCATAAGTATGATTATAAAAAATAATATATTTTTAATGCTCATAAATTTTGCTGGTAGCCTTGCTGAGCTCTTTTGTAAGCTTATTGCTATGTTGAACATTTGCTCCTAAACTCGCCGTACTAATGGTCTGATTTTCTCTACTGCGTTTCATCCTGTGTTACTGTCGACCCGCGTTTGAAGAAGATAATCGATTAGCTAGCCCCTTAAGAATGTTAATTATGCATTAAAAGAGTTATAGCATCATGCAAAATCAAACATTTTATTACTGATTGTGGTGTCAGCGTTGAAAAGGCCAAATCTGGTTTGCCACAAATTCTAGACATCCTAAAATTCTTGCAGCTTACTGGAGTTTCGATCTCTAAACTCACTGTTCCAAGCTTGGTATTTTGGGTCCGTACTGTCATAAATAGTTACTAGTTTGTAACTAGGTCAGCCAATCCCTGACAGCTTCTCAAGCTAATCCCACCAATCGCGGAAGACAAGGTGGTCGCTATGTGTACTTAACCCTCTACCGCCAGACATGAGTAACCAGAGCAATATTGTCACGAGCCTATTTCACGAAAAGGAAACGTTCTAGTGAGCGCAAAATGACTTGCACTGATGCTTGCCGCCATGTACGACAATTTGAAATTCTCTCTGTTGCGTACAAATGTCCTCAGGTTGCTACCTTCATAGTTTACGTATAATTTAAGTTGAAAGTTATGTTCCCGGAGAGTGACATACGGCGGTATAGGGTTAAGCAGCTACGTGTACTCAGGCCGCCACGTCTACTTGGGCTGCCCCATGTACCTGAGCAAGTTCTGATAGTACGGTCATTGCACTGTAAGCCTGCACGTATATATTTTCAATGTGTTATTTCATAATGACTAATTACGTACTGCAACATAAATTAAACATTTTAACACCCGGGCAACATAGGGCAGACAAGCCAAAGCTGCACTGTGAGCTCTGCGCCGTGACCTTCAGCAGGCCAGCGCACTTCGAAAAGCACCTCAGGGGGGCCAAGCATCAAAAGGTTGCTCTTATTAATACATATTATAGCATTTCATTATTTTATCATAATATTGTACCTAGTTTATTGAGCGGTAAACAATAATTTGCTATTCTGCTGTTGTAAAATTTCTATAGCGTTGCAATAATGTATAGAATTTTATTCACATTATGAATCATGGCAATTTTTGGTGATAAATCAATATATTCTTAATTTTATGCACAAAACTTAAATAGTCAAAACGAAATAAAGTTTTGTTATCTCTACAGGCGTTAAATAACATCTTCGCTGACTTGAGATACATCAAGAAGATAATAGATATGCAGGTAGCTGTACTAATACAAGGTGAGATAACGTTACAGTATAGTGCACTCTGAGAAATGTGTGAGGCCTTGTCCAAATAGTGATGTACTTTTTGCGCTCGTGTGTGGGTCATCATGACCCAGTTTGGCCCGGCAAAAAGGCGTATCAGAGCTACGTGAACCGTCTGCTCGTGCTGTGGGTAAGGAAGTAACCTTATTTGGACAATATGACCCACCCATTTATCTGAGTTTGGTTTTGAATAATGTCATTGTGCTCTAACGGTTAGGTACTTCAACTCTGTAATAATAAAATAATTACTATAGTGTTGTCGTTATTAGGCTGTCTAGATGTGCAAATGTGCCAAAAATTTTACAGCTAGCCGGGGCTCACACCCGCAACTAACTGCTGTGATCTCAAGGCTCTCAAAAATCAGCCACCCCTGCTGCTTACTTAAAATAATCAGTATTTATTGACCGAAAAATATTGAATAACTTTTTCCATTTTCTAATACAAGGGTTGGAAATTTTCAAGATTGAATGATTAAAATTTTGACATTAAAATGTTGGCGCTAAAGAGATAAAAACTCATGTGCTCTAATTTTAATAATAATAATGACTGCTCCAACGGTTACAATATTATAATGAAAACAATGCACCATCGCCACAATATTTATATGATATATTATGTAAGAGTGGTACATTATATACCTGCTCCTTCAGTTGTGATAAGACAATACCATGCAATATTTCTCACGCTATTGACTATTATTATTCATTAGACGAACTGTATAAGCTATTAAATTACATTGGCAACATTACATTGCCAACAATCTGGAGACCTGAATTAAATGTTAAATTAAATTACATTGCCAACAATCTGGACACCTGAATCAAATATTAATTAAATTATATTGCCAAAATCTGGATTAAATATTGAAGATGAACATCAATTATATGTCTAGAAGTTTGAAACTATAATAAATATTTCTAGATCAAAAGGCTTAAAATTTTTTGTTCTGTGTAACTACTATGAATTTATAATTGGGCTCAATCCTGTTTCTAATGTACAAGGTTGACGTGTAATGCCACTCAATATACTATCTAATATAGTGTAGGTACTATGATATCTGGTACATCACTTATGATCTATCAGATATCTTTTATCATGATTTATCAAATACCATATCAACATATCAAGTGATACGTCAAATGTCACATCATATGATGTCCACACCATATACCACGCAAGATATCCCTCTCCATATATCACATACAATTTAATATATCACAGAGGTGGGGGCGGGCTCGACAGGCAAGCGGCAGGGCGCCCCTCGGACCGCGGCAAAGAGCAAGAAAAAAAATCCTAAAAAGAATAAGAAGAAAAGCAAGTCAAAGAAAACCTCTGCCGATAAGAAGAATCAGGAGCTCTTGGAGGATATGGAGTTCGACATGGAAACGGAGCTGCTTGAAATGGAGTACAGCGAGCAGCTGGAGTATGAGGATGTTTTGGAGGCGGACTCCATGATGGCGTACGACTCCATCATGGAGATGCAGGATCGTTTTCTTCTCCATCGTGAACACCGCAGCTACAAACACGAGAAAAAGATCACTAGAATGCAATGCATTAGTGCCCCAAAGACGCCTTCGTTTCTGATAAACTCTATCACGTTGCATTAGTGCCCCAAAGACGCCTTTGTTTGCTAGAGATTCATGTTAGTTTGCCATGACCCTTTGGTTCAAAGGAGATATTTTCATTTGCCAAAGATGCCACGTTGTTGGTATTTCAAAGACGCCTTGGTTCAAAGGAGATATATTTCCATTTTGTTATAATGCCAAAGACGCTTTGTTGGATTCCCACGTTGTTGTTGCGTCAAAGGCGCCTGCGTTCAAATGAGATATTTTTATTTTATTATAATGCCAAAGACGCCACGTTGTATTTCCACATTGTTGCGTCAAAGGAGATATTTTTGTTTTCATATAATGCCAAAGACGCCACGTTGCTGCGTCAAAGACGCCACGTTGTTGCGTCAAAGACGCCTGCGTTCAAAGGAGATATTTTTATTTTGTTATAATGCCAAAGACGCCATGTTGTGGCGTCAAAGACGCCTGCGTTCGAAGGAATCTTTCTCACGTCGTTTCATATTCCAAAGCATTCTAGTTAATTTATTGTTCTAATCATATAACTGGAAAAATATATTTTTTATTTTCGTAGTATGTTTAAGTACGTTAAGTAAGAATAAAGAATACCGCTGGAGAGAAACTAAGATTTTATTAATATGCTTTCTAGTCGCAATGAAAAAAACTTATTTACAATGATGACGAATTTCGGGTCATTGTACAACTTATATATAGATGTATTTTGATTTTTCGGTCGCGATTTCGCTTCAGGCATTGTTTCCTTTTGTTTCTCCTGTATTTTGATATTTTTTAGCGTTTAAGATTAGCTTTAAATATGAACGTCACAAATTATTTTTGTAAGTAGGATTGCTTATTAGTGTTCTCTACATCCATTCTGTACTGCTGGTGCTTGCTTTGAATTGCTTTCTATTTTGGTTTACTGTGATTATAATTTTAGTATTCATATATTTTTATTATTTTTTGTACAACGATGTTAGCAATATTTACCATGAGATTATATTTTTAGTATTCATATATTTTTATTTTATTTTTTTGTACAACGATGTTAGAAATATTTACCATGAATCTAGAACCTTTTTTTATTTTTCTTATGCCTTGAAATTTTTAGTCCTTTTTAGAATCACGGATATAATCCGTACTAAAGAATGTATATTGTTGGTGATTTTTCCTGTGGTTAAGTAAGCGTCAAAAATAATTACTTGAATGTCTTCAAGTTCTCAAGTACCTGAATTTTGTACCTGTAAACTTCATATAGTAAACAATATGGATAATTATTATTATGTTTATTACTGATATAACTGCTCGCTTATGATATATTTTTGATACCGTGTATGCCTGCTAAAATGGACGCTTTTGTATTATTTTCGCCATTTATAGTTATTAACTTGCCGTATTAAAGCATATTTTTACACCGTCCTTGATTGTTCCACTCAGTAATTGTTTTTTTCTGAATGAAATCGGCCAGGTGGCTAAGAAAGATCTAGTCAACTCAGACGCCACTATGAATCTATCACAAAATATAAGATATTTATTCCCAGTGAAAAAGTTCTTGTGTAAAGATGATAACTCATTAATTCAAAAAGCTATAATTACTTTGAAATGCCTCAAGAATAGTGTGATACAATAATAGTGGAATAAATTAAAAAAGCTTAATTGAAATAAAGTAGTTGTGAAAAATGTTTTTGCTCCTGGCGTTGTCTCCTCCTTGGCGTTGTCTCCTCCGTGGCGTTGTCTCCTCCCTGGCGTTGTCTCCTCCGTGGCGTTGTCTCCTCCGTGGCGTTGTCTCCTCCGTGGCGTTGTCTCCTCCATGGCGTTGTCTCCTCCATGGCGTCGTCTCATGTTGCAGCGTTATCTTCAGTTCTTGCATCAAACCAAAGTCACGCACGCGTTTCACCCCAAACTGGCTCTTGTCCGGTGTTTGATCAAAGATTGAAGGTTTGTACATGATAAGTGCAATGATTTTGGTATTTTTTCTTCTCAATATTCTGCAAACTATGAGACTCTACCAAAACTCGAACTATCAATGGGCTGCTTTGAATAGTTTCCAATGCTGCGAAGTTAAGAAAAAAAGCTATATTTCCGCGCTAGGATCTCAATTGGAGCGAGGGCAAATATTCCGAGGTTCGTTACAGATATTTCTAAAAACGATTGCGTTTTGGCTATGACTGACCTAACCTTCTGCCATAACTGACTGAATCTTCAGGTATTACTGGCCTAGTCTTCGGGTATAATCGGCCTAACTTTATAACTGGCCTAATCACCCGGTATCACTGATCTAATTATCATCGGTACTGGTAATTGAAGTCAAGAATACCAGGTGGTTTCATAATATTAATTGAAAGGATTGATCAAGGGTATGATCTGAATAAAAGATAGAGGGAACTTAGTCGTAGTGTGGATAAAGGTTTAAATTTTGAATCAGTTGGTACCGTTCTTATGATGGTTTGAAAATTCAAACAGAGGCAGCGCATCGTACGTACCTACGTAGCGCAGCCCACGGGGTCTGTGGCAAACAATGGATAAATTTCAATAATTGCCGATAAAAGTATAAAGAAAGCAAAATAATACGGATTTTTAATCGAAATCTATAGATCCATGATGCCGATATGAAAAATGAATAAACTTAATTCATTTATCCTTTTAAGAGCAAAGTGTTAGTAGGCAAGATTAGCAGTGATTGGTGCTAATTTTAATATTTAATTTTGCATGCACGAGATTAGAAAAGGATAATGATGGAAGGGAATCAGACTTATCTCCAATAAGTGGTTAATCGCGTAATTTTGCACTGAGGAAGATTCAACATAAGAAATTGGCGCTAGACACGAAGGCGGAACCATCGGAAGTATCTTCTTCTGGCAACAGATTAGCTAATTTAAGGAATTTCTTCTGGATACCGATTAGCTAATTCTTTGTTTCAGTAAAAAAATGCGGAAAAATTATTCATATATTATCCAATTCTCAGTTCTGCCAAAAAATTATTGTATAATCTCTGATAAACTCGGTTACAAGTCGTCTAACCTTCAGCTTAAACTTACCCAACCTTCAGCTTAAGGTGGCCTAAAGTTCAGCTTGAACTGACCTAACCTATAGCTTGACCTGGCCTAACCTTCAACTTCAATTGGCCTAACCATTGTTGAGAGTATCTCTTATTTCAGGATGGGTCACGAATGTTCACGTCTAGCGGACCATGAAAAGCTAACTCGTCCACCATTGCTGAAATGTAACGACGAAATGAACTGAATCGTTGATATCTTTCGTTTATTTTAAGTCAACCGCCTGCCGTTTATTTTCGCTCATATGCGAGCGACATTAGTTTCAAAATTTGGACATTTCGAGGATCAACTTCAGCCTTTCGGTGATTAGTTTGGTGCCATTTATTAAGACAGTCTGGCCGATTGTCTTAAGTTCATAACACCTAAATTGTAGTAAGTTGTGGGTTCGATACCAGCAACCAACAGTAAAATGTTCTGGTCGAAATCGGCAAAGTGGCCAGGCGGTCAAGAACAGTGGTTGTTAGAGAAGCGAGTTGGTGGTTCGAGACCTTCAGCAACCTGAGAGAATTCTGCGTTGTTCAAAAGCGGCGACAGGCTTAATGGCCTAATATACGAAGCCGTCAACGCTCTTTTATAGCGTTAGGGTTCGCACACAGTTAAAGCAGGTTTGCCCGGGCAACCTGCCACATGAATGAACATAGGATAATAATGTAAGTGTTCACAGTGAAAACCTGTACGAATAGGCTTCTGTATTCTATGGTTTCAGTCGCCAGTCTGAGCAGGTAACCAGCACGCTAGCAACCTGCTTTCACTGTGTGCGTACCCTTATTTATTTTGATTCCACACTCTCTCCTAATTTAAGACCCCGGTGAGATGAAATGCTATTCCACCCGATTGTCACCAGGATCCGATCATGTAACTATTTTAGTAGAAGTCGAAATAGTTCGAGAGTTCAAGAAACACTGAGAAAATTTATTGGGTTAGGGAAATCGCTCGGAAGAGATATTAGAGACACGAATTTCGTTAAATTAATAATAAAATATTCCTTTGAGTGCTTACCCCTTATATGCTGCTGATTTGGTTGATTTAAAATACACGTGAGGAGAGTATAACGCCTACCTACGCACACAGTGATTGGTTCTGCACAGTGATTGCACAATCTAATCTGATAAGATATCGATTTTAAAACAAGCTATTAAGCTGATAAAAGTTCAGAGTCGTTGTGATAAGTTTTCTATTGAACATCATGACTCAATGCAGGATCAAGAAATCAGTTTGATAGGAAGTGTTATTGATGGTGTCCACTATCTGGCATTGGTCTCTAGCATTGCTGAACATAATTTAATACACAATTTACGCTCATTGGATATGAATCGCTCAAGCTCTCTTCTATTAGTTATACAGTTTCTATCAGCAAAATAAAAGGCTGTTTGACATTTAACTGTACTTAAAACGTCAGAAAAAAGTTTAATACCTGTTATAATTAATAGGTGACCACGTATTCGCAATAATTTCTGATATATAAGGCATCCAGATGTTCGCAAGTCGTTTTTCTCGCTAACTTGCAAACTTTGCATGCTCTTGAATTTTTTACGGATTAGTGTCAAAGATAAATACTGAATTTATTGCATATTTTATCTGCACTGAGAGTTTCCATGCGTTTGTGTCTATAGCTTCGTCTTGTGTGCACGATGAGACTGTGTTTTATTTTTTATATTTTTAACCTGTTATTGCAGTTCCGTTTTAGTGGATTAGAATCCTGCAGTATACGCTTTAAGAGGACAAAATCAGAATAAACGTTATGAAAACGCATAGTGAGTTTTAGCTAAGTCAAAGCATAGAAAACTGACACCGCAACAGGTTCTCTCTTTTAGTATGGGACAACAAAATCGCAATTTCGCTGTTCGGTGCGATGATACTGATGATAGTTCATTACATCATCAAAGGTTTTCAATAGGTTCACTTTGTAATTTAGACTTTATAAGACAATTTCGTAAATTATACCAAGAGGTCATGACGATGTTTGGGAATTCAAGTAACATAAACAAATCTCCTGAGGTACTCACAAGGTTGTTCATGATGATGATAATCTTCTTGCTTAATTATTTTTTTATAGCTCAATTATTTAAATTGAAATGATCTGCTAGGCGTAAAACCACTTCATGGAAATTCGGTGTAGAAAAAATTCGGTGATTAGGTAAATATATTGCAGGCCTACACATGCTGCCTTCTAATCAGCCTGCTGCACCCATGGCAGGCTCTGCAGGCCTACACATGCAGCCTTCTAATCAGCCTGCTGCACCCATGGCAGGCTCTGCAGGCCTGTACATGCAGCCTTCTAATCAGCCTGCTGCACCCATGGCAGGCTCTGCAGGGCTGTACGTGCTGCAGGCTGCACCAGCTGCCGCGATGTTGTCAGTGAAGGCAGATGGCAAAAAGAAGCAGACAAAAAAGAAACGAAGAAAAGATGGCGTCAAGCAAAATAATCCTGCCACCAAATCTCGGGAAGTTCACTATTGTGACATCTGCAAGATCAGCATTGCAGGTCCACCTCTGCATTTACACTTTTGTATCTATTGTAACGTTAGCAGCGTCAGCTTACATCAACAAGCGCACTATTGTAACTATTGTAACGCCTGCAACAACAGCAATGCCTGCTCTCAAAATTTTGGGTGACTATAATTATATTAAATAACATCAATAGTAAAAAGTATTGGTTATGATAATTACTGACAATAGCGATGTTGTTAATGGTGATAATTTCTGAACTTATACCAAAGCCAAATTATTTTATTGCCTCGTGTTTGGTTGTAGAATAAGCGACAGAACTACCAACAGAGGGACGGTGAATGGTGGCACAACCAACACAACCACGGTGGCCACCAAACATTCTACTGAAGCCTTTGTGGTCACCAAGGATGGAATGGTGAATGCGAAGAAGAAACTCGCAAGAAATAGTGACTTGCCTCTGGGCCGAGGAGAGGGGAGAGCTGCTACAGGAGACGGTCATGGTGAGACGTGCTTGTGGTCATGTCACTGTGCTTGAAAACGGAATTGCAATTTGATGTTACTATGGAAATGACGGTAAAAACAGCTTAATGGTAAGATGTGCTAATGGTAACAATAATGATAATTATGAAAATACAAGGATAGTGTGCAAAAATGATCAGATTAATGGAAAAGAAAAATGCTAAGCTTTATTGTAACTTTTACAGGGTCCGCCATATATATGGCAACGCATGTTTTTTGTTATTTCTCAATGAAATAAACAGGTGCCTTGTTTTTTTTTATTGGATGAGCTAGTAGCCAAGAATTACCTAAAGTCCTAAACAATTCTCAGACATATTTATTCAATATGACCACCCTTATTTTTAATGACGGCCTCCAATTTACGCGGGCAAGCTTCACAGGTGACTCGCAGCATTTCTTGAGGGATCAAGTCTCATTCTCGTGTCAATTTAGACTTCAAACTCCAAAGAATCACGAAGTGTTCTGCAGACCCTACTCTCTAAAATAGCCCACACAGAAAGTCGAGAGGATTCAAATCAGGGCTTCTTGGGGGCCATTCATTTTTGCTAATGAACGCTGGGATGTGACCCTGAATCCAGTTTTGGGTCATGTTTAAGCCATGTGATGGGGTTATAGAGTCTTGTTGAAAACTCCATGGTGAGCCGTTGAAGTGTTTACTGCCCCAAGATAACAACACAGCTTCCAAAATGTCCGAAATGTATGGCTGACTGTTCAATTTCCCTCCTGAGGGGACAAAAACGAGCGGGGACCTCCCAGTCTGCTACTGACTCCTGCTTCTGCAGCCAATTTTGCAGCTGAGCGACGAGGGTTTCTCCTCAACTTCTCCCTCGTGTTTTTGACCAATTGTTTTGTTCGGATACTTCGTTTCCTTCCTTGATCAGGTCGATTGCGTGTTTCATCAGTTTCCATGAATTTTTTTACCACCTTCCACACAGTTTCACGACGAATTTGGAACTTTTTTGCAATGACTGAATTACTCTCGCCCTTTTCATGAAGGGTTACAATTGCATTTCTATCTACTGCCATAAGTAATAGTAAATTTAGACACCATAGACTTCTGCAATATAAAATATATGAATTTATAGATGATATTAAGCTTCATTATGAAAGAAAAGCCTCCTAGAAACCAATTTATTTTTATATAGCAAACATCCGTTGCCATAAATATGGCGGACCCTGTAATCGCAAACAAACCTGTGCATTATAAATGAACTGTTAATGAGTACTCAGTATAGGCATAAGAAATTCTCATTATTAAGTTTACTTTTCAGAGGCCGTGACTCCAGCCGTGCCCCTGCAAGAGATGACACCAGCTGTCCCCACAGAGGCCGGGACGTTGGACCGTGGCCCTGAGGCAGGAAGCACGAATGGCAAACAGAATTGTGGCGTCAGATGCTGCAAATTCTGCAAGTCCAAGTTTACGCACCAATGGAATTTCTTGTAACTACTTTATGATTAATAGTAATGTCAACAGTTAAATTGATGAATTACCAGTGTCACTCTTATTCGGCGACAGGCCACATCAGGCCTACACTTCAGCGCCGAGATCACTATGTTATGTTATGTTATTGCCAAGCATCAAAATGTGGGATTTTTTTAAGATTTTTGCTCAAATCGATCATAAAGGGAGTGATCAAATGACGGGCGAGATATTATCGAGGCATTAATTTTCCTTTTCTTACTCTGCAAGATGATTAGACCAGTAACGCCCCGCGAAATTTTTCCCCGAAATATTTCATAAGCCGTCACTTAGAGGGAAACTTAGTCAAGCTAGAACAGCCTGAGTTAACGTTAACTCGTTGCGACACTCTTCTTTCCAGCAGCCGCTGCGTCGTAATATTATCCTGTCAACCCGACGATAAGCTACCGCTTCTTCGTTCATAATCCCCGTCTGTCATTATCCTCGTCAAGGCTGCATGAGAGATCAAAAAGAATCCTTAACCGTAGCGTATTCAATCCCGAGTTTATCAATAAGTGTTGCAGGTGGCCGACAGTAAATAGCGCCCGGCAGTAGGACCCGAACATTGTGCTTCTATGTGAAAAACATAGCTTTTAGGTTCAGCATAAAACTTGAAGTTAAGACCAGTGAAGGAAAGAACCTATTCGACCGTAAAGAAAACATTGATAAATAGCGAAGCAAAAATTATTATCCTAACCCCAGCAGTCAGCAGGCACAAACACGCCGGACAACGTAAAAGATGACCCGTATTGTGAACACGAATATTCAGTGCCTTTCCGATGGATTTTCAAAGTCTGTCAGATATACCGTGTTACAAGGTCAATTGCTTAAATATAGCAGTTGAGCCCGTATGCCAACCCAGGACACAGGAAAGGGATGTACGAAAATGGTTCGAGTTATTAGAAATACATTTTTCTGCTGCAGGTTTCCCGTTATTTGGTGGTAGCTTAATTGTGCAGTCGTCGCACATACCAAAATAAAATAAAATATACTTTCACGGGGCGCTACCGCTCACGCGATCTAGCAAAGAGAAATCTTGAGAGAGGGAGAGAATAAATGTCTCGATAATATAACGGCTGAAATAAAACATCTCAACTTATTTCTTAAGATTCATATTTGCATTGTCTTTTAGTAATTATTCATTTTGTAAGTCAAATTTTTTTAATAAAGTTCATAGACACATATTTATTTTGTCTTCTCAGGCCATTGAAGCGAAAACAAGTGGCTTGCAGCGCACGGGCGAGAGGAAAGCTACGCATGCATGGGACAGCAAAGGTAAACTATCATTCGTTTTGATGGTCACAGCAATTATGATTACTCGGAAGAAATACCCACTCGGAACAAATGCCCATCACAATAACTTAGAAGTTCATGTAGGCCTGTTCTCTTTATGTTGTCACAATCATGGAGTCGAAATGCTATTACGCTCTAATGTTCAGTATAGTGAAGATAAAAACCAAACCAGTGAGTTCACATGGTGACGAGAATAATGATATATGAAAATGCTGTTCTTAGGTCATTCTCGTTATAACAATTATAGTGACTTATTTGACAGTATTTTCGGTTGACTATTGTGATTATGATGATGCTCGATGTGATGGAATGGTTTTTTGACCGTTATGATAATGACAATGAACAAAATACTGTTGTGTTTGAATTTTAATGAAAATAATTGCAGATGGCAGCCTGCGGCAGGTAGCATCAGCTGCCACGCCTGTGGCAAGGGTTACTGGAAGGCACATCCTGACGAAGGAATTCAATCAGTATGCCCGCTACCGCCTCAAATTCTGCCTCACTTGCAGGATCAAGTTCCCCCACCAATGGAATTTCTTGTAATTAATATATAATTATGAACTGTGCTGACAACGTAACTGATGATTAATAATAACCATTGTACATCTTGAAAGTAATTATTATCATTGATAATTATCTTTAGTTCACTAATTTGAGACACAATATAATATTTTATCGTATCCGTTAATAAAGCAATTGTGATGAGCGTTAAAGATATGGCGGATTTAAATTGCCGACCATTGCTGCCTCTTCCGCATTCCTAATAATTTTACTGTTCATTTAATTTGCTTTTCATTATTTTTGTGCTGATGGCGCTCTTTGCCCAAAACTCTTCAGGTTTTCAGGTTCACCAAGTATGAATAGGTTTAAATATGTTTCACCGTCGAGTTTTGGAGTTAGGTTAGATTGGCTCCTGAACATTTCATCTATAATATTCACCTTTCGGAGTCATATAATGATATTTTTTTCATGCACCACTGATATTTTAAACGATAACAAATTATTTATCCGATCACCCAGGGAACATTTGAAGAGCAAGAAGCACAAGAACAAAGAAGCGAGGGCCAAAGCGGGGCCCGCTCTCCCACGTCGGAGGGCGCCGCTACGCTGTGAGCTCTGCGCTGTGACTTGTAACGGGCCAGGGCCCTTTGTCGCCCACATCAGGGGGGCCAAGCATCAAAAGGTTGTTCTTGTTACTGATTATTAGAACATTTATTTTATGACATTCTATAAAATGCTTATCAATACGTAACTCTATTTGCCAGTTTATGGGGAAAGTTTTGACATGATCGCACTTAAGTTGAATCTCTTCGTCGCGTTCACTAACACTTGTGATCGCAGTCTGCATTGCAAGTTTTCAGTTGCAAAAATGCGAAGACATTTTCAGTGCAAGTTTATACTTAGGATATTAGTTCTGATGAGGTAGTGAACCGTTTCTGAGTTTAGATTGTCAAATATAATAATTTATTTTGCAGGCATTAATTCCCGACCTGGTTGGCAGAAAGTACATGGAGGCCATAAAAGAGTGGAAAGATGTTGCTCATAGTAAGATTTTAAAACGTCTAATGGTCACAATAATGGCAGTATTTAATTGATTCCATTGTGCTCGAATTTTCGCATGCAGGGAGATAATAATAATTGCAACAATATATTATTTGAACCTTAATTTATTTATTAATTGTACCCTTGTACACTAATGGTTAATAAACTCCCTACTGCAAAAAAATATATTACTAAAAACGCGCGTTTTCTTTATCACATGGAACGTTTTAATATTCAGCTGGTAAAGTAATTAAATGCCATACACTAAAAACGTAATTTCTTTGCAAAAAATATAAATTTATCAATTCCATAAACGATTAAACATTTCACAGGTAAAGTGGTCGGCTACAAGTGCCACCTCTGCGACTGCCGTGTGTCGTTCCGCAGCGTACAGATGCACATGACAGGCCGTCGCCACACACACGATGAAGCCGTCCAGGAGATCCTGGATACTGTCCACGACCCGCAGCTTGAAGAACTGGAAGCTGAGCTCAGGGCTATGGAGTGCAGTGAAGAGATGGAACTGGGTCAGGAAGAGGAGCTTATTCTGGAGCAAGCAGAACGCTTCCTGTACGGCTTCAACCGTCGTACTGATAAGAAAGCTAAACACATGTTGTGACATGCTGCTACATGTTGTGCTGTGTTGTTACATGTTGTGACATGCTGCTACATGCTGTGATGTATTGTTTCATGTTGTCATTGTTGTGACATGCTCTACATGTTGTGCTGTGTTGTTACATGTTGTGAATAGCGGCTATATGCTGTGATGTGTTGTTACATGTTGTGACATGCTGTTACATGCTGTGATGTGTTGTTACATGTTGTAACATGCTGCTAAATGCTGTGATGCGTTGTTACATGTTGTGACATGCTGCTACATGCTGTGCTGTTTTGTTACATGTTGTGACATGCTGTTACATGCTGTGATGTGTTGTTACATGTTGTGACATGCTGCTACATGCTGTGGTGTGTTGTTACATGTTGTGACATGCTGCTAAATGCTGTGATGCGTTGTTACATGTTGTGACATGCTGCTAAATGCTGTGATGTATTGTTACATGTTGTGACATGCTGCTAAATGCTGTGCTGTGTTGTTACATGTTGTGACATGCTGCTACATGCTGTGCTGTGTTGTTTCATGTTGTGACATGCTCTACATGCTGTGCTGTGTTGTTACATGTTGTGACATGCTGTTACATGCTATGTTGTGTTATTGTATGTTGTGACATGCTGTTACATGCTGTACTGTGTTGTCACATGTTGTAACATGCTGTTACATGTTGTGATGTGTTGTTACATGTTGTAACATGCTGCTACATGCTGTGATGTGTTGTTACATGTTGTAACATGCTGTTACATGCTGTGATGTGTTGGTTTCTGTTCTGATGGGTTATGAAACTGAATCCAGTCTATGACAGTGAAGTTTGAAGGTTGTGGGAGACAAATAGTTCAGTTAGGGACACAATCGTTTTCTAATGCTTCAATTTGAGTCGTAGTGTTCAGTAGTTCAGGTTCGGGTGCCAATTAGGGCAGGTTTCTGTACCTACTTGAAACTTAAACCCTCTCTTCATAGATGTTCCATTAATTATTTTTGAACCCGAATCTGCGCTCAGCGCAAGTAGAGTATGAGTTGCAAGCGACTGATAGAGATCTTAATATTATAACATCAGATCTTAGTCACCATATCGAACCCGGTGGAAGTCTAGTAGCTACTTGAAACTATCGTCAGTCATGAAAATATCCGGTCAAATGACACGATTTTAGATCTTCTGTGAACAAGGCACGAAAAGGAAAAGAATCGGCGACAGGCCACATCAGGCCTACACTGCAGCGCCGAGATCAATATGTTATACAAATGCAATTAACGTCCTTCTGGTAAACTCTGAATCGTCTTGGAAAATTTTTATTATGTGTTGATTTTCAATTTGCTTATTCTTTTTTTTATCAATTCTTCCTTACAATTATTGTATGAAGCATATTTAAGTTTAAATATAATATTTTGATTTAAAATATCTCATGCATAATGACATATTAGATCATGCATTTGCTCGTGAGCTAGAAATATTATAGTTATGGTATCAACTGTTATCATTTTTTGTCAAGATTCATAGAAAATTTGCATCTCATATTTTGATAAACTAAAGATGAATCTTCCGTACAAAAAAATACTTTTTTTCTGAAAGTGGAGCAAATTCTACCGAACTTTGAGTGAGTAACTTTCATTCTATACCCGAGTGTCTGAATTAAACTTGACATGAGAAAAACCATAGGTCAACTTTTACTTCCTAATAAAGTTTCCAGCATCACTTGATTCGTACAGAATGAAATAACCCTTAATTTTCTTTAGGTAAGTCGGGTTTGGTCGGTTGAGTTTTGGAAAAGATATGGAAGACAATCTCGTTTGAAAGTTTAATAGTAATTTGAAAATAATGTAATACATGGTGAAAATCCAGACATTCAAAATCTAAATAAAATGGCTTCAATCACTAACATGTAATAACAACGAACTTTAAAACTGCTAAATTGAATTATAAAAAGTGAGTTTTTTTAATATTTAATCATTACAGCCGGTTCGAAACAATCAGGCGCATTGTTAAATTGCAATGCGCTATGAAAACTGTTTACTTTGAATTCTGAAGTTCATGAAAATATTTCCAGCTATCAGAAATGCCCTATTTCTTTCAACATCATGCTTGGAAAATAGCAAACGTACCGTGACAGTCAAATTATAGCTTATACACGGGGATAATATTAGCTTAGAGTATTCGCTGCGAGTATATATATAGTATATATTCACACTTCATATATTGTTCTAATTTATTCTTCAGTTGCAAGTAGCTAGGGACGCTTATACACTTTAGCTGGCGCTTATTCGCTACCAGCTTTCACACTCCCAATTTTGCAGGCTGAAAGCCGATAAAGGAGGAAAGTATTTAGTAAACATTCCTAATGTGGAAGTGAGTTGTTGAAGCCGTCGAGTGACTAGTGCTGGTGGAACAAGGAACGTGACGGTAATGACGCGTTTGAGGAGGCGTTTAATGAAACAGCTTGTAGCTCAGTTGCAACTCTTGCTGAGGGGGTGAAAAACTTTGTTGATCAGCGTAGAATGTAGGTGAGAGACCTAATAAGGCATGTTTAAATTTAAAAACACTACTTTCCCAATTAGTTTTTGGTTTTAATATTCATTGTGACGTACATTCTACTGTAGATCGTACTTTTGGAATATCTATAAGAATTGTCAGGATGTCTCTGTCGTCTGTATCATCAACTGTCCGGATGAACTGTCCTCCCTTTAGTTACCAACCAGACTCCAGTTACCAACCATAATCAAGTTATCATCACAGAATTTCATCAGGATATCAATTGATGATACAGCACCATACTCAACGTCGTGTATCATCCATGATCCCAAACAACGCGAGTAGAAATATATGTATAGGCTGCTTGCCTAACCACACACTCAGAGTAATGAGCGAGACTTTGTCCAGATAATGATGTAATTTTTGTCCTCTTGTAGGTCATTCTGACAAAGAAGCGTTTCCCGAAAGAGAAACAAAACCTTAGCCCGAAATTGTGAACAAAGTTTTTCTTTATTTGGACAAAACAACTCATCCACTTTTTCTGAGTGCATTGGAAACGTTTTACGTGTATTTTTTGACGCACATGGAAAAAAATTATTATAATAATAATTATTATTAAACTGTTGTTTGAGATGTATGTTTTGACGTGCATATAGATAGAAGTTTCTATAATTTTTGTCGACAATTCGAGAGTTTTTTTGATTGAATTATTCCCTTTGTTTATTTTTCAGGATAAAGTTCGCGATCCAACATGGCGTCCGTTTGTTTACGTTTTAAAGCAGAGCTGCTAACACAAGGATAGAACAGCAGTAAGTGGTATAGGTTGGAACAATGTGTGAAATTTTTAGAGCTGCGAAGCAATCTGTTTATTAATCTCACAATCGTAAATAGTAGTCAGCGCTAAACTTACACCTCCCACTTGGCAAAAGCCCCTCATGTAAACCTTGATCCGCCATTCCGTCATTCAGTGCCGCGTATGCCGCGTGTGAGTGAGGTTGTGTGTGCTGCCGCTACGCTGAAATCATGTGCCGTGTGATTCCCGCCATGCATCTAGCACCCGACGAGGCCGCGTTAGATATGATAAATAGATACCTTTATCTCAATTGACAGCTGGAGCTACCTTACATCAATACTATATCAAATTACAAGATATTTAAAGAGCCTCCTTCCTGTGATCTAAGAAATGAGGTCCCCCGAGAAATGAAAATCTCCGACGAAATCGTCGTGGCGAGACAGCTTCATTATTACGGGTTGTGGTCACACGTTATGTCACGTTATTAAACACTGTGTTGTATCGGAACGTAAGGATCTCTCATTATGTTACGTAATGTTGACAAGTTATTATTGTTTTTATAACGCTCTAATTATGATTGTGTTCCATTTATTCTGAATGTAATGTTGTGTTGCGTAAATGTTTAGTCGTGGCTTTTGGTTTGCACTAGGACTAGAGTAACAGGGCCAGCTGCACCGCCAGCACCGGCACCTGTGCTATCATTGCATTAGCGTTGCAATTGTCCTACAGATAACGCGAGGTCAAGGCCGCTATAACGCACAACAGGCGCCTGTTCTTATNCCTACCTCCGACCCCAATCCAAACGCGGTCCTGGAAGTCGCCAAACAAGAACAGAAAATGCATTTAAATAAAACTCAATAAAACCTCATAAGATCAAAGGCCATCTCTGCCACACTACAAATCATGGCCTCATTATCGGCGGCCAGCCATCCTCCGCCCTCGATTGCTCACAAGTTGACCCCACGAGACTTCTGAGTGTGACCCTCGGTCCGCCGCGGGGCAACGGGTACATCGATTGATGCTGTTGCTGTCACTGTTGTCGCTGTTGTTGCCGTTGTTGTTGTCACTGTTGCTGTTGTTGCTGGGGTTTTCAAGGTCACAGCTGGAAGCCGCAGTGAGGGGTGGGGGTTGGGGGAGGCCAGAGAGGGGCTGGATATTATTTGGTGAAAAATAGGAAATGAGGGAAAAATAGAGGGTAGAGCGAGGCCAGGATTAGACTGAGGGTAGGAGGTTAAAATGAGGGTAGGATTATTGAAGAGAGGTATTGGATGAGTATAGTAGGGTATGATGTTTAAAGAAGGGTACCTACATGTAGAGAGTAGGATGATTTAAGAAGGGTATAGGAAGAGAGTAGGATGAGGGTCGTTCCGTCGATGTCTCGGTATAAATAGACGCTCCCCTCGTGCTGCTGACGCGAAAATAATGAAGATGGCGGCGTGAGGCGTTCAATGAGGCGGAGGTGAGGCGGCGTGAGGCGTTCAATGAGGCAGAGGTGAGGCGGCGTGGAGGCGGCGTGAGGCGTTCAATGAGGCAGAGGTGAGGCGGCGTGAGGCGTTCAATGAGGAAGAGGTGAATATAAATTGCAGGTGTTGAGTGTATTGTTTGAGAGTGTAGTGTGTAATGGCCACGTCACACTCAGACCTACGTTAGCATGACACGCATACGGCACACAACTTATTCACATTGCCTTGACATTATTTATCTTATAATTTTTTCATTTTTATTAAAGTTAACAAAAATTATTTCCAGCTTAAGTTATCCTCAAAATATTAG